GGGGGGGGGGGGCTACAAGGAGAGTGTGGGGGTTAAACCCTAGTGGAGCCAGTTTGGCCAGGAAAGGTTAATTTGGCCCAGGAAGGCTGTACCCAAGTATTGGGTGATGAGATAACCATTGGGAAGTCCAAGGCTAAAGTGAATATGAACCAACAAGCGAGGTAGCTTGGTGAAGTGTTCAAAAGTCGGCTCTAGTTCCCCCGAGAGATCGAATGGTCAATGCTCCCAATCCAAGTATGGGTGGCATTACCTACTTGGATACCTAGTGTGGCTCAATGAAACCTCGCTCTAAACCCATGGCTAAAACACCCAAAGGCTGTAAAAGGGATATTGGGAAGGCTATTCACCATGTTTGTGGGCATTCTAAGGATGCTGAATCTAAGATGATCACTCATGGATGGATGCCCTAGTCTTTGAGAGACAAGACTGTGATGTAAGTGGTGTTGGACCACCGGTGTCACCAAGGTGAATGGGTATGGCCTTAGAGTAACGGGTTGATATGTCAATGATACCTTGGGGTGTCGGTTATGGGATCAGACACATGGAGCACTTGGACCCAGTGCAATGGTTTAGTGGCATAGATGCCATTCTCGGGGCTAGCAAGCCCCACATCCTAAATTGGACTTATAGAGGTTGTGAATGAGACTCCTCCAAGTGGTCAGAGGTGTGGTTAAGTGACTAAAGTAGAATAAAAAAATTAGTCATTTACAAGTTGGAGGTAAAATTATAAAACTTACGCATTGATCTTTTGGCAAGACAAGATAAGTCTGTTGACATCCAAAGGTCCCCTTGCATAGACATGCCGACTGGAACGTTGATATGGTAGATGGGATCATTGAGAAAATGATCTTTGATACACTTCATCCAAGCCTTATATTAGTGGTTACTATCAATAGTTTAGAATATTGTCCTCAGAAGTTGTTGAGCCTTAGGATGTCTAATAAGCATGTTATCAAATTTTAGGGATTTCCTCCTCTAAATAGAATCCCAGCTATTCACAATCTAACTGTGTGATAGTAATGATCTCCATTGTTCCTAACTTGCAAATCGAGACTAGAAACATACTGATATTTATCGCATGGCCATTCTGTTTGAACAAGCTGTATATATTCGAATTGACATACTTTGATGTAGTGCGAACAAAGTTTGTCTGCTGCAAACGACAAAGGGGGATCTCTTTGATCAAGTCACAAGGGCCTAGCCACTTGAGCGCCTCAAGTATTTGGTGAACTGCTTTTTCCCTTGTTCGCATAACAATCTCTTGGAAGTGCTTGTCCACCACGTTGTCAGGAAGGTCTACAACTCTTTGAGCTCCAAGTTGTACTTTAGGTTCCCTATTGTGAACACCACTAGATTGCCCAACTTCAGGGATTTGTGCTGGTGGTGGGCTAGTGAGGAGTAAAGTGGAGGTAGTAGTGGTGATGGTGGGGGTTGGTGGTGGTGGCGGTGGAGGTGGAGGCAATAGTGGCAGTGGTGGTAGCAATGGCGATGATGGAGGTGGTGATGGTGGTGGTGGAAGTGGCAATAGTGATGGTGGAGGTGGTGATGGTGGAGGTGATGGTGGTGGAGGCAGTGGATCTCTAAGTAAATGTGTTTTCATTAATGTGCCAATGGATATGTCAATTGTGATGTTGTCAGTAGTGTTGAATTGAACTTTTCATGTCTTCTTGGCTCCAACAATCTTTTTGTGTGGTACAATTTTTCTTTTTTAAACGAGGAAAAATTTTGTTAGTCAAACTAAATAA